GCAGTACTAACTGCACCAGCAACAGGGGGGGGGGGGGGGGGAAGTTAGCTGTCTTTCGTAGGGAAATGTGAAGAGCATGAACTGAAAACAGGTCCAATCATGTATATACTGTATTTAGTTTGATGTACAGATTTTAATGCTATGTAACATTGCCAACTGCTGAATCAAACCATAGCTGTTCAGGACAACTGCCAGGTTTTGCTAACCCACACTAAACATCAGAACTCATTCTTCTCTTTCATTTATGTAATTGTATCTTAGGAGACTAATATTTGGTAAGGTTGTGGACTTTTTCTTTGGACATATGGATTTTGTGTGTGTTGCTTTTTGTGGTGTGCATTACTGGCACCTTTTAAAGGGCAGGCTTACTTTGTAAAGAGTACTGGCACTTTTTGACCCACGGAGAGAGAGAGGTGAGGGAGACAGCATTTGTATATACAAGTCCACTTCTCACTCAACACTCTGGGGTAAAGAGGGGTTTGATGGACAAAACAAGAAAAGGTCAACAACAACAAAAAACACAACAAAGTGTAAGCAAGTCACAATATATTTTATAACATTAAAAATACAGGTATAATTCATTATTTACACAGCACGATGAATAAACCACACAAAAACAAAAACTGGAGTGAAACTAATGTAAAAATAATTCTAATAAAAGTAATAATTCTAACAGCAATTCTCTGAGTGCAGACATCCATCCCCATGTGCAACATGCACAGTCATAAAGGATGACAACAGACAGATCTACATGAGTGACACTGTCTGCCTCCTTGAAAGCATAAGTGATGGCTTCTAGCCAACACAGCAGCCAGCTGACAACATTTACGCAACAGCTACTGGATGATGTGGGGAAAACTAGCACTCACTCATACAACTGGCTGGTGAAAACAAACATCAAGTAGGTGACATGATAGCAATCAAATGCAGTCTCTTCCGCAATTTTCATTTACAACTGTTAACTTTATTATTATTCTTGATGATGGATGAGAGATTCACAAGAATGTCTGTCTCTTTTCAACCTCACAATTCTACTTTTCTGAACACCTTCCCCTTTCTTCCTCTTTAAATTCAGTGTTTGTACACTTTCTGGTCAGGAATTTCAGACATTTCACACACTGCCCTTATGTTTCAACAAATTGGGTCAAACTCCATTACTCTGTGACAAGTAAGAACCTGCTACCCACAATACGACCCACATAAGACAGACCAAGACCTGAATGTAACATATTTTAAAATGTACATAAGCCACAGAGACAGAGAGAAAAGATGCTGGGCAGTCTGACCAGCTGGATCAGAACTGAGTGAATGAACATGAAACAGAAAGTTGTAGACAGACATGACTACCAATGCAACTAGCACCAACTATAAAAAGAAGCCATACTGAAATAACAAACACAAGTTCAGATATGTAGAGAACATACACAACCTGTTCTACCACCATAAGCACACAGTCAATTAATTCCTAGCCAGTCTTTCCTGAAAAGCAATGGTATATTCCTAACATGTGACCACTAGAAGAGTTAAGTAGATGACCGACCTATAGGGCGAGAGGTCATCATCAATCAGCAGGTCCGTTACAGAATGATGCCGCTCTCGTCACGGCACGCCTGAGTCTCTCTCTCTTTCTTGAACCAACTTTATGTGCTCTAATAGTAAATTTATCTTTAATATCTTGTATCCACATTCTTGGAGGTCTGCCTCTGCCCAGACTTTACCCGATCACCATTCTCTCCATCCAAGTCACCATGATATTTAACATTGCCCTAAAACAGCTCAGATTGTTGTTGGTCACAAGGAGACGGAGCATGTGTGGTCCAAAGTGCAGAGATGTCAATTCTTCATTGATCCTGACACTTTCAGATCCTACATGATTGAAACTGTTGACTCTTGTAGCACAACTGATGGCTTCTACACAACATACCTGCCACTTATAAACGTATAAACCATATACCTGCCAGTCACTACTAGCCAGTATTAAAAAAGTAAACTTTTACTAATAAACCATGCGGTTAATCTGATATGAGGCCAGCATTCAGGACAGAACAATTACTAAACCAGGTGGTTTATGAGTGACCAGTATTCTGGTCACAGGTACCACCAAATCCCTGGATACTTACTCTCTTGACAGAAATGCCTATATATCACAATTCTGGGAGAACCCAATCAAGAAGTGACCTTTAACCTCAAAAACACTTTCAGGGAGAGAACTCTCAACATTGTCAGGACATTTCCTGCTGCCCCACACCACACTCTAGAGTGTTGAACACTTGTCACACATTCTGTTCAGCAACACAATATCTGCTAGAAACAAGCTGCACACATTTGTATTTTTAAAAAAAAACAAGCATGTAACAACAAGCACCTTCATTCAAGACTACTTTTCCACTGAACAACAACATTATCTCAGACACCTCTAGTTACACATGTTCATTCAGTTTCAAGGACTCCCATTACGTCCACTGGTTACTTTTTAAATGGTACACATGCTTCTCCCCCCCCCCCCCCCCCCATTATAATGTCACTTTAATGCCATATATTTCAGTTGTTGCTATTACGTCTGCTGTCCCAAAGTAGTATTTCTTAACTCTATGAGACTAAATAACTGTTATACAATATAAATTTTAAAACAAAAACCTTGCAGAATTCAAAACTTCCTCGGACTGAATGAGTTATTAAACCTGTTGTGTTCAGTTTTGATCTCTTACTCTAATGGTCAGAAGGTAAGGCAAAGAATGGTTACATGACCACAAGCCTCCAACTCCCCAATGCCAGCATTGTCCTCATCAACAGTTGCCCCTCCCCAACTGACAGCATTGTTCTCATCAACAGTTACCCCTCCCCAACTGACAGCATTGTTCTCATCAACAGTTGCCCCTCCCCAACTGACAGCAATCGTAAATGAAAAAAAAAAACAAGAACACAGAGGACAACAAAGACAACCATTTGTCATGAAAAAAACAATGTGTTCAACAACATTCCAAGCCAAAGTCTCCTAGCCGAGTCGGTCAGATCAGTAGCCATCACTGCTGTAGTTGTCTCGCTCATCATAGTTTTTAGCCTTGCTCTTGCTGGGTTTGCTTTTCTTCCCATCCCCTTGTTCATTCTGAGAAAGGGAAAAAAGCATCAAACACATTTTAACAACATATGTCTTCTGTATCTGAATCTCCCTGAACACAGCACATAGGCCATGGTGGCTAAATGAAACCCTGCTAGCCATATGTCTTAGGTTTGAATCTGCAATGAGAGGGGATTTTTTCTTCTTCAAAACTGACTCGGTTCCCAGGTCACCCCAACCTTAAATAGATACATCCTTTGTAGACTTGTTTGATGGATTCTGAAGAAAATTTCCCTTGTGGTGAATTTGCCAGTCTTACACCTTACACACACACACACACATAGGGCGACTATTGCTTGCTTCCCTGATGAGTCTTGGTGACATCAAGAGTAACACAGCTGTTGCTAATTTACATTCTGTTAACACTTTGGCACACTCAGCAGGATGTACTATACCCCAGACACTGGCAACAATTGCCTGAGCTGTATGAAGTGGCATGGGGGGTTCCGAGTAGTTCTGCAATTTCTTCTTTTCCGTGTTCACAGGCGTAAACTCAGAAAGTTGTGGTTGTTCGCCCACTCCTGGACTTTGGTTGTGTTCCAGAACTTGAGTTGTGCAGATCTCGCTCACCTGTATGCACACTCCGTTGCTTGCTGCTCAGGAGAGATGCACTTTCAAGGAAACCCCTAATTAGATGACAGGCTTGTTGGGGAGGCAGGGGGGTCTATTATGATAATGCTGTTCTGCAGCCGTCTTGCTTTATAGGCTGTATATATGAAATAACACCACCCAATGTTGACCTTCAGTGAACATAGCAATGTGGCTACCAAAACAGTATACTGTACTTCAGTGGGTGCTGTCCCACTGTGGAATACCAGGAAATGAAACTAGAGAAAAGGGGGCGGGGGAGCGGGTACAGAAAGACAATGAAATTACATACTTTTTAGAAAATTATTAACAATCTTTATTTTCAGAGAGTCACACATTGGACACGCAGGCCCGTCTGACATTCGGACCTTCCAAACATTCATCAAGAGAGAAAAAAGAACAAGCCAAATGATCACCACCACTTGGCAGGAATGTATAGGTCATCATCCTACATCTCAGGATGGTGACATATTAAACTCAATATGTGCACAAGTTTTGATTGAATAAAACCCCACTATGTCTATGTGGGTTGTAGAAACAAAACCACATACACATCCTGCAAGACTGTCCCTTATACAGCGCCTTAAGAGAATACTGACCCAAAGAGTCAAAACAATACTCAAAGCTTTATGTGAAACTACACTACAAAAAAAAAAAAAAAATAGATTTACATAATTTACACCAGTGACGCACCAGACATTTGATAATACTTATGTTTATAGGCCAATCGCCACTCAGTGGGTGATAAAGGATATTACCTGGTACCATTTTAGGTTAGGCCGACCTGGGAACTACTTCTTCGCGGTCACCAGCTATAAACTCTGGTGGAAAGTTCTGGTTGTTTATCCACTTCTGGATTGCAATCCTGTTCCAAAACCTGAGTGTTGCATGTGTATCAGTTTTACAGATCTGACTCATTTGTATGGAGACTGCTGGTTCCTCGCCTCTCAGGCAGATGCACTCTTTTCGAAGGAAGCTTCCAATTAGTCGACTCTTACGACATGCTTTTTGGTAGGCAGCGGGTCTATTCTTGTTTTCCCCATAATAGGGCCGCCGGAACCCACACAGGAACTGACCTGGGAGCTAAGACCAATGTGTTTTTTAAATTTGCCTTGATTCACATCTGAGACTTTTGCGCTGGCAGGCGAGTCTCTAACCACTACACTATCATTCATCATTGTCCCGTAACACTACATGTCGTTGGGTCACCAGCCGCTGTTGACTGACCAGCTCTCTCTGCCTTTAAGGCCCATCCATTCAGTCAAGTTCTGTGCCCAGGTCTTTCCGCTCTTCTCTACTGAGCAACGTAGTATTGTTTTGACATAACCACTGCTCCCATAACTAAAGAGGAATAGAAAAGAGAGGTCACTATATAAGAATTCTGCTGGTGCAAGTCAGGAGTGCAATCACAAAAAGACTCTTGGTGAGAAAAACCAACCTGAGATTTCTGGTACTGCCTGGCATCATATTCATCATTGGCCTTTGGAGACTGCGATGGAGACCAAGATCTCGGTTGCTGCTTCTTCTTGGGAGGTGGGGAAGGTGAAGAGTTGCCAGAGTCAGAATCTTGGACCCGGGGGTTGGATCTGGACACTGGTGGAGGTGATGCAGATGAAGATGACTGTCGTTTAGACTTCTTGGATTTCCTGCAGACAACATGATCAAACAGTAGTCACAGTGCTTTCAATGGAAATGACAGATTCAATGCATGGTGCTCTCTTCAGGCAGCTAGCCTTTCTGTGGACAGAGAGAGAGAGAGAGAGAGACAAGAGCCAGATGGGAGGAAACCTGGTGTAATAAAGTCAATCCTCTCTATTTAATTTAGCAATTAAAGTTAACAATATTAACTCTGTCCAATACATAAACTAGTTTCATTTAACATTTTATATTGGTACCATCAGTATTGGAACTCTGTGCTGGCTGCTGAAGATGAGGACGGAGCACACATGGGAATGCCCCGAGTGCTGTGATGTCAATTCTTGACTCAACTTCTTATGCACCATTCTTTTTTAATTTGTATCCATTCTGTTCCAGTTGTACTCATTATGGCTCACTGATGTACAAGTAGAGTTTATTTGATTAACGTTCCAATGGCTTTATAATAAAACCACGACAGAAACGTCAACAGATGTGGCAGAATTAAAGAAAGCATTCATTCTGAATTAATTAGGCACAATGGGCTGATCAGACAAAGTCTGGGGCATTCAGGCAAGCATCCCATTGTTAAGATAGGCAGGAAATGCCATCAGTGAAAACAAAGGGATTAGCTGTTCACCGAACCATTTATTGTACTTGTTATGTCTGCATCTTCAAACTGCGGCCCCACCCCGCTGAGTTTTTTAGAGGTCACAATAAATGAAAATCACATGGTGATAGTGACAATCAGGATTAAGGCTGGATGATGCAGAATTTCCTACTTCTGTGCTAACATTCCCTGCAAAATCCTGGCAACATGCAGATGAGCATTATTGTGCTACAAAATCAAATCACGAGAAATCATGTCAGGATGTTTATTCTGGATGGCTCTACCCAGCTTGCCTGGTGTTTTCAAGTAGTGGATAGAGCTGACACCAGGTTGTTGTTTTAATAAAGTCTGTCAACAATAGCCCTTCTATTAAAAAAAATGTTTATCATAACCTGACAAGATGCAACAGAAATGTAGAAGCAACAACTGAGAAGAAAAAATGTTAAATTTCTAATGCACAATAAACTGCCTGCCCCATACGCTGCGGCAACCAGACAGAAACATTTGATGCATGTCTGGCTGCCGACTTTGATGGGACTGCAGAATGTTTGAATTTTAATTTTTCCACATTAAGACAGCGACAGGCAATTGCTGGTACAGGAACAAGACAATTATGGGGTAACCTGCTTGCCATGAAGCCGGAACGGCGACTGACTAATTAACTAGGGAGAGAGATAGAGAAAACACTCACACCGGCCGTGGCTCCGGAGAATCTGACGGAGACCGCTTGGAGACTTTCCTTGGCGCAGAATTCTCAGATCTATGGAGATAAAAATGCAACATGTAGTCTACAAATCATGCTGAAGGTGAAACAGTAGGTAGGTAAGTTTTAACCCACCAAGACATCACACAAGTGATAAACACCCGGTGACACAAAGTGCCACCATGCAGATGAAGATCACCCGTGAAGAGGTCCCACTATATTTAGAGCTACCGGCAAGAGCCAGGGAGGGGCTTCAAAATAACTATAAATTACATCCCACAAGGGGATGACGATGAGTAACAGAGTGTAGGTGAAACAGTACAGACAACTTATGGCGATCTCAGGACTGGCAAATTTCTGTTGTGTAACAGTTGGTTTATCAACAGCAATTTTTCTTGTTTTAGTTCTCATCTCAATAAGAACGATTTCTGATAAGAAAACCATTTCTTGGGTCCCCGGTGAGTTCTTATCAGGTCTGCACTGTGTATGCCGCAAAGATGAGATTAAGCACAACTCCTACAACACTGCAAACACAGCCCTGCAGTAGATACTAGTTGGTGCCAAGTGTAAAATATACATGGGCTCCTGACCACAACACAAGGTGATCTAGCCAGTTCCTTTCCTTCTCAGAAAATTACCAAATGATTTGTATTCACATGAAGCCTGGTTAACCCCAAACCCATATTGATTTGGTATTCACATGAAGCCTGGTTGACCCCAAACCCATACTGATTTGGTTTCACACGAAGCCTGGTTGACCCCAAACCCATACTGATGGGACAAACCATAATGTGTAGTGTATATGTGTGACATGGGTAATTCTGCACAGAAAAAATGAAGGTATGTGAAAGATATAAATGTGTGTATATTGTTCAATCATGAGTGCATGACAATGTCAGTAGGTACATAATATGATGACAATTAGCTTGCATTGAAATAATACACTCACTAGATATATATTTTAATAACTGAGCTAGTGTTGCAGCATGCATGGATTCTTTTCTCCTGTCCTTTACCCCCAATGGAGCATAGGCCCCCAATCAACTCAAATCAAGCTGACATGGCCTTTGCTACTGCATACAGCTCACTATGCATTCCTTATTCTTTTTAACTTCACTCTCCACGCCCTTTTTCTGTGTGTTTTTTTTATTTCTACCCCCATAGGCTCTGGTAAAAAGACAGTTATATTGCTACCATGTTTTTTCAACACATGTGTCCTATCCAATGCCAGCATCTTTTCTTCACCTCTTGACCCACTGGAAATGTAATTCCCTCTATTCTGCATAGGCAACAGTTAGTGTATATTTTTCAGCATGTACAACTGAAGTATAAGCACCAACAGTGAACAAGCGACAAGAAACACAGTGAGGTCAGGCAGCAGAGTGGAGATATGAGTGTTTCTATTGCAGGAACAAGTGAATCAAAATGTGTAACCTTCGTCTGGTGTCAGTCGGGGACTGCTGGTCCCTGCTGCTCCTCACTGGACTCTGAGAACGGGACCTGATGAGTTTGGAGAAAAAACAATACTAGATTAATGTTTGTTAGAAACGGATGGAGTTATTTAATGAATTATTTATGTGCAGTGGGGATAAAGACAGCACAAGGTTTGCTAACTACAAGTAAGACAGTGTATGTGTGAGAATGAAATGTCTCAGAACTGATTCGCCACTGAAAGTCTAATAGTTAATTTAACATCTAGCTAATGTTGCTGTAAATGCTGGAAGGTACACAGCCTGCAGCTCTGTGTGTGTGTTATGTAAACATCTATAAGTGTGTGTCTGTAAATATGTTGCCTGTTGTCTATGTGTGGTTGTACATAAATGCTCCTGAATGTGTGGGTGCTTGCCTGCTTGTATGTATGTGTACCAGCATGCACCTGTACCTGCTGGAATGTGTGCATGCTCATATGTGTGTGTGTGAGTGCCTGTAAATGTGCACACCTAAATGCATGTGTGAATCCATATGTGTGAATCCATATGTGCCCGTGTACATTTCTAGGAATAACAGACTTACCAATTAAAATGAAACAATGCTAATAAAATTATGGAAATACTCCGGAGGACAATAAATAATACATACTTGTCAAATAACTGCAGTACGTGATCAACATAAAAAGTAAATTACATACATATCTACCACACTATATTAACTGATCACTACAAAAGTATCTTACTGGCTTCTGTCTAGAAGACTGATCATTTACTGCAAGCTTGGATTTCCACCATTTAACATGAAACTTGCAGCAATATTAATGTTCTTATTTAACACAGAATCTTTTTGTTGTTGAAGCTAATGGATGCCTTACTTATCAAAAACAGAAAGCCATGACTGCAATTCATTTATCTGGAATTCAATACCTTTGCTATTATAATAGTATCAAATAGAGCTTGGAGGAAAAGAAACGTAATTGAGTCTTATGTTTACACAAAGATATGCCTTGTTCACATCAAAACATCTATTGAATAATGTGCCCCTATGTTGCAAACTACAAATGTATGTTGCAAATCACAAATGTAATGTTGCTAATTACAAATGCAATATTGCTCCTATATTGCGAACTACAAATGTATGTTGCAAACTTCATAAGGTCAATATAAATACCATCTATAATCTCTAATTACTCTATAGATTAGTGAAAACCCCATTCCAGAAAGCTCTGATGATAATAAAGTATCATGATGGCACAAGACAAGACTTACAAATTCAAGTTATAAATATACATTCACTGACTAATTTTACTGTTTCATTTAATACCATTAGCTACACAAATACACATGTAATAACACAGAATTTAAAATATGTAACAGGAAAGGAAAACAAAACAAACAAAGAAAATACACATACATATGACACACACAGACAATATTCTTCAACATGTATGTATATTTTATGGGTTATGTGATACCCAATAATTGCATAAACATTACCGCATCAATACATCTCCTGTTTTTGAGATAGAAAGGCCTGTGTGAAAACTCGGTCATTATATGACATGAGGGAAATGATTAGGCCCGTACTGAAGGCCTTTCTCTTTATTGCCAGAGGATGGAAGGCGACGCAACGACATGGCTGGCGACAGCTGCTCTTCTGCTCGAGTCGGGCTCCAAGATCAACAACAGACTCCTGCTGGGCTCTGCACCAATGGATCCTCCCTTGCTCGAATCTATCTATGGGTAGCTTTGCAAACGACTGCCATTGAAACGACCTGGAGAAGGACCTAACGACTGCGTTGAAAACCCTTTGGATCAAGATCTCATGTGACAACAACCATCTAGCTCGCAACCAAACGTAAAGGTGTTAATCGTATGACTTCGCTTCCTGTGGGACTTGAGCGTTGAAGCAGGTGGCCGATTACAATGGGCCACATTGGATGCCCCCTTGAATAAATGTGTCAGGACAACATATTAAATATGACCATATAAAGAAACTCACAAGTAAAACTACAAATAACACATTAACAAAAATTATTTAATCAAGCTCATCCCAAAGTTCTGCATAACTTCAATCACATTTATTATTTTAATTTAATCTGTTTTCAGAAAGACTCCAAATAAATTTAAGTCCACCAAATAACAAAGGCAGTATAATCATCACTGCAGTGTTTCTGCCTCAGAATATTGTCAGCTGACATGGATATAAAAACCCTCTTGCAACAAGCTTGTATGTTCCAATTATGTGTAGAGACAGACATTCTTATACTGTTAATAAATCCTCATTCATGAGCAATATCAGTTGCTGTTTCAATGTTATATGGCTTTTGTGTTTCCACACCTGACATAAAGTCACTTCTCTTTATTTAATCTTGTGTGTGTTTTATTATACTTTATGTGGCTTTTGAGTTTCAATATTTGACATAAGGCTGCTTCTCTTTAGTCTTGTGTCCTTTATTATACTTTATGTGGCTTTTGAGGCTCCACATCTGACATAAGGTTGCTTCTCTTTAGTCTTGTGTTTTTTTATTATATCTTCTCTATGTAGCTTCTGGGTTTTCATATCTTCTCTACCATTCATAACACAACCCCAACCCACTCTTTAGACTAAGCAGTCAATTTTCAGAATGACAAAGACACATTCTAGCTAGTGTCTTGACTCTCCACCCTCACAGACAAACAACTCCCTCAACTCCTTTCACCTCACTGCAGGAACAAGTGTACTGTCACATGACCAACTAGGCACTCCCAACTCTTGCGCTTGTTTCACTGATATTCATCTTTTGATTGTCTTCTTCACTTTCCCAATCTTAGGTAGTGGCTAATATAAATCAAGCTCTAGTTTTTACATTTGCAATAAAATTTCAAACAGTGCAGCACAGTGCTAAACACACCCCTAAATATATAATGAACTAGCTATATCTACCACTAGATCACTCCTGGCTTATTTTTGTAATAATTTTTTTTTTTTGGGGGGGGGGGGGGGGGGGGGGGGGGGGGGGGGGGGGGGGGGGGGGGGGGGGGGCATTTTTATTCCTAACTATAGGGTAGTGATGGTGATGTTGCGGGGTTCAGCTCGATGGCAGTATATAGTGACCATGAAAATGTCTCATAGCAACAAGCCACAGGGGACCACAGACAATGTGACTAGAGACAGTGAGAAACTGGGTCTGAACTTGAATTTTGGAAAGACAGAAGTAATAGAGATATCAAAGAAATGGACAGTCCTTATCAATGAGGTCAAGAACTCTCCAGTAAAGATCCCACCATGTATAGTCATTCTTTCCAGTAATAACAATGTGGCTAAATATTTGGTGACGTATGTTGACATATCTGATACACCAAACATCCCACCACTAGACACAACAGGCAAACTGGAGTTTTCAACTAAATAATTTTTACTAATAAAAGCAAGCAAGTAAATCCCACCATAAAACTGCTAATTGCGCAAAGCTCTCATTGCATCCCTAAAACTTATTTGTATTCTATATAGTAAACAAAAGATAATAAACGTATCTCAAACATAAGAGACAAAATAAATAAAGGACAGAGCTTTTATGTGAAATGATTTGAAACTTGGTTTCTTAACCTTAACATTTAAAAAAACTGTTAATTCTGTAGTGTACTTACATTCTTTATATTTGAAAAAAATCAATGAAACAAATAAGCAAAACACAACTAAATGTACAAATCTGTTCTTATAATGCAAAATTAAGAAGAACAATATAAACAGCTAACAAACAAAGGAAATATTAAACACTCACCTTCTACTTCCACCCCTTTCTCTAGACTGAGAACGTCTCCGAGAGGTATTACCTCCTCTCTGGTAATTATTGTAGTCTCGGTTTCCCCCACCCCCACCGTAATTTCCACCATAATTCCCACCTCTGCCTCGCCGTGCGTTACTGCCAATAGGCCTGGCATGTTCCACCCTGACTATGCGACCACACAGCTTCCTGAAAGTAACATTTTCAATCATCCTTCAACACAACATGGGTGTTCTAAATTATTGACTACTTTCCTGAAACTAAACCTAAACAAAACATGAAGCAAGTTCTAAATTGTCTTCTTCTTCTTCGCATTCACCGACTGTAAACTCTGGAGAAAAAGTCTAGTTATTCCCCGATACCTGGATTTCAGTCTTGTTCCACAACTTGACTTTTGCGTGCCCATCCATTTTACAGACCTGGCTTATCTGTAATCAAGACTGTTGGTTCCTCGTCTCTTAAGCAGATGCACTCCAACTTTGGTACAAGAAACACCCCTAAGTAATCTACTTTTACGACACACTCGTTAGGGGACAGTGGGTCTACTCCCCCCCCCCCCCAATAAGAGGATCCCCACACTGCACTGGAAACTAAGTTTTATAAATGTAATATAACCAAATTTACATAAAAATGAGAGCAAGAGAACTCTGAATAATTTATGGTATCATTTGTAATATTTTTGTTTCTGTATCAGATGTAACTGCATTGTGCCTGTTAGCAGTACAGCTAGGATGTGTCAACACACTGCCACAAGAATTATGGACCCAGAACCCAGACAAAACCTCCTGGACAAATGCAAAAATCCATTCATCATGCTTCTGAGATTCTTTCACGTGAAATGATGCATAGGAATACATTAAAAGAACTGCCTGTAGCACTGAGAACTTAAACTGCCTCCACCTCCCAGGGTAGGCTAGAGACAACACCTACCAGGGTAGGTAAGGGACACACACACACATCAGGGTCAGGACGGTGCCACACGCCAAGCTTGAGGAACATTATTTAGAAAACTGCAAGAGATAGTTCACGCTCTGAACTGGAGGAAAGCCTCCAGATGTCACAATTAACCTCTATAATCCCAGATCTATACACCTGGCATGCCGAAGTAAAAGGCAATGAACGAGCTGATCAGGTGACAAATAATGCACTAAAGCATACAGGAAGAAACATCGACACCAGAGATATCATCAACATTATAGGGACTAGACGGGTGCTCAATGGTGAATCTCCGAAGTTAAAAATATAGCATGACCTAAGAGTAAAGATTGGTGAAGCAGATCTATGCCATCTTTGACATCAAGTCAGCCACACTGTAACTTGACTTTTCATGGCAACAATCAGTAGTGGTCATCCTGAAAGAGTTAAGGAGGATCAGAATCCACACCTCAAATTATGATTTATCCTGAACAATAAGAGAATTATGTGATCTGTTCATAATCACTTTAATTTTTAAAAAGCAAAACATTCCAACCTTCCATTTCTATCCCTCACAGCTTCTTCTGCATCATCCGGGTAGCGGAAAACTATGAATGCATAATCTGGTGCACTTCTGTGAACAAAAACATTAAAAACATGTATCTTTTTAAGAATGTGAACACACAGAAAAACTTCACCTTCAAGAAGACAGAGAATGTGACCTTTGGTTAGAGAAAAAAAAAGGTTTACACAAATACATCTTCAAGTCAGCTGGCATTCTGTAACAGAGACATGCAGTTCTCATGGCTTTTAGACAGTAGTAGGAGAATTACACAATGGAAGAGACTGGGGATTCACTGCGTAATTTCCTAAAGTCTGCAGTGGAAGCACAGCAGCCAACCTCTATAGTGGAGATGGCACCGCAATTATCAGTTTCTGCACCATCTCTACCACATGGTAACACTTGTGTCAAAAGTTATGACAGTGAATGATCTCTCTCTATGACAGTGAATGATCTTTCTCTATGACAGTGAATGATCTCTCTCTATGACAGTGAATGATCTCTCTCTATGACAGTGAATGATCTCTCTCTATGACAGTGAATGATCTCTCTCTATGACAGTGAATGATCTCTCTCTATGACAGTGAATGATCTCTCTCTATGACAGTGAATGATCTCTCTCTATGACAGTGAATGATCTTTCTCTATGACAGTAAATGATCTCTCTCTATGACAGTAAATGATCTCTCTCTATGACAGTGAATGATCTCTCTCTATGACAGTGAATGATCTCTCTTTATGACAGTGAATGATCTCTCTCTATGACAGTGAATGATCTTTCTCTATGACAGTGAATGATCTTTCTCTATGACAGTGAATGATCTCTCTCTATGACAGTGAATGATCTCTCTCTATGACAGTGAATGATCTCTCTCTATGATAGTGAATGATCTTTCTCTATGACAGTGAATGATCTCTCTCTATAACAGTGAATGATCTCTCTCTATGACAGTGAATGATCTCTCTCTATGACAGTGAATGATCTCTCTCTATGACAGTGAATGATCTCTCTCTATGACAGTGAATGATCTCTCTCTATGATAGTGAATGATCTTTCTCTATGACAGTGAATGATCTTTCTCTATGACAGTGAATGATCTCTCTCTATGACAGTGAATGATCTCTCTCTATGACAGTGAATGATCTCTCTCTATGACAGTGAATGATCTCTCTCTATGACACTGCCATTTATTGTACGTAACAGACATTCCATCCATGACAATCAGGTGTGTGGGCAATGAGCATGTTGGGAGATTGGTTGCTGTGGGTGGGGGGTGAGGACATGTTTTGGAAACACAGGTGGACTTTTAATCAGGTAGCAACTGGTACTATTAGCATGTTGATTCTTTATCAGCCTCATGAAGAGGAGGAAGCATGTGATTCATTCATGCACCATCCCACAATTTTAGTTTTAAAAAAAACGGAGACAGAGGTGTTTTAAAACCTAGGCAGTCCCAAGAATGTGGTCTATTTTTTTTTTTTGTAACCTCTTACTGATATTCCTTTGCCATATGTAGGGCTGGTACCATGTCCCTTCATAACAGAGACATGTATCCAGACCTCTAGTCATTCATTGCTCAATTAATCCATCATATATTAATATTATAATGCTGGCTTATGCCTTATCATTCTCATAAACAAGAAACAAGGAAGTAAGCATGTTCTTCAGAAGCTACAATTTGTACCACACCATGACCCTGTCCAACAGAAAAGCAGGAAGCTAAAAGCACTAAATCAGAACATGCTCAAATTTTGTTAAACTTTAACAACTAAATGATATACCAACCAAGGCCTAACAGGTAATGATTTGATTTGATTTAAGAACCGACATCACAGCACTCGGGGCATTCCCATAAGCGCTCCCTCCCCATCTTCAGCAGCCAGTGAAGAGTTCCGATACTAATGGTGCCAGTAGCTTTCTGTTTAAACATCTGTCTTGCCTTTCCTCTGAGCCTCGAGCTTCTGCCAGAACCTCTCGTCACCCCCAACTGCATCAATCTCACCAGACTGGTGATCCATCTGCTCCTCCGAATTGTACACGCTCTCCCACAAGGCACTAACCACGTCTGCCCTATCATATATCAGCATTCCACCAAGTTGTGCAGAGCCAGCCAGTCTGTCCGCCTGTTCATTTCCCAACACGCTGGCGTGACCAGGTGAAACAATCAAGACAATACTCCTCACTCGTGTCCTCCGCAGCGAAGCATGCCAATCTGCACGAAGCATACCTGTTCTGATCTTCCTCAGCATGCTTTCTGAATGGCCTAACAGGTAAGTCTTGTGCTTCCTCTTCACCGGCTGTAAACCCCTGCAAAAAGTGTTGGTCTTTGTGGTCCACATCTGGTCTTGTCCCAGACCTTACTTTTGTGTACATATCTGATTTACACATTTGGCTTATTTGTATGCAGTCTGAATGTTCCTTGCCACCCAGGCAAATGCATTACGACTTCAAAGGAAAGACCTATAATTAGTCACCTTTTACAACATGCTTGTTATGGTGGCAGTGGGTCTATTTTTGGGACCACACAGATGGATCCCCCCCCCCCCCCCCGAACCCACACAGGGAATAAGGAAAGTAAAGTAAAAGTAAATAACAAAACATATGTGATAATAGAAAAGACAAAGCTCTATATTAAATAAATCTATCCCAACTGTTATCCATAAGGACTGAACAGAATACTGTTGATTAAACTTCTGCTTACTTACTACTATACTAGTATTCTAGTAACACAAGAACCATTAACCATGCTATCAACAGTGGTTAGGACATCTGTCACCCCACAGGTCATGGGTTTGAATCCACATAAAGTTTTTTGTTTTTAAGACGACATTGGCTTCCATATATTATGTTATGATACAATTCTACCATATTCTATTCTATTTTTATATTTTAGCAGAGCACCAGACTCAAGTCAAAGAGTAAGTGAGTAAGAATAAATGGATAAACTGCTGCTCTACCCTGTGTCAGAAAGTGTTGAATTAACTATTTGGTACTGAAAAAAAAATGTAATGACCTAACTAGTAATCTACTTTTTAAGCTCACTCTTGAGTTCAACCGAACAAATTCCCCACCTCCCAGCTGGTTACATGTTGTTACGACAGCCGACGATGAGATGAGGGCTGGGGCCATGAATGACGTCAATGAAAAATAATAGAATCACTCGCTACCTCTTATGCGATTATTATAATGAAATGCAATACAAATATACCAAAATACATGCTAATATAGCAGATGTACAAATGCGAAATGAAAAATAAATGCTTACGGTTCACGTTTTTTTTTACCCATCCAGGACATCAGTCAACAGGACCCATACTGTGTAAAGTCTCTCTCTCAAAATCCGACTGCAAATTCGCTGCCCGAATATCCCCAACATAAACTCGGTATCCTCCGAATTACCTCATTCATTGCGGGAACCTTCTGGGATTCGAATTGTTATACTGCTATTATTCCGTAGGACATTAGTTGCAGTAAGTTTACACTTTAATTATGAAACAAGTGATAAATAACCGTTAAATAAAACACCGGATAATTCTGACCAATAAAAACGATTGTACTGCCACGGTTAAAAATACAAATGGCAGCTCATCAAACAATCGTGCACGCCCAGAGCTAGCGCCAGCATATGAAGGTTTTTCGCACAAATGTTCCTGAAACCAGGGCAGAGCTACAGAGCAATATGAAGGTGTCGCACAAATGTTCCTGAAATGAACCAGGCCCGTGCCAATGGGGACTTTTTTTTAAAAACCCAGCCTAAGACTGAACAAAAACCCAAAGCAACTACCATAAGCAAAGAAAAAAACCTAGATTTTTAAAAAGTACAATTTAATAGTAACGAAAAAAAAAAAAAAAACATTTAATCACTTTTATCGTAAGGTTTTTTTTTTTCAAACCCAGATTTGACGATGGTGTGCGTGGTGACAACAGACAAGGAGAAAGGGAAGGCATTTCTCCAAAGTTTTATAGCTCAGACAGATCATAATGATGTAGACATCAGGGATGCAGTTAGAAAGGAGTTAGCTGGCACCTTGAAGGAATATGCATAAATGAAGACATGATACAAGTGGAAGATATCAAACACATTTGTGAAAAAAAGCAAAAGACAGGTGCACCAGGGCCCTGATTGTGTCAGGTATTAGTCACATGAAGGCTTTGAGCGATGTAGACCTGACGGCAGAGATGGCCCGACTGTTTTAACCAGGAGTATTAAGACCGCATCAGTACGGCAGGAAGGCTGGGTGTGCACAGCTATCTAATCCCACGTACCAAAAGTTTTAAAGATCATTCTATGCTTAGTGGCTTTAGAATCATCACCTTAACAAAACACATTTGGGAAGGTCTTGAAGAAGAAGATAGTTTGCTGTAAAGCTACAAGATTTTTGGAAAGGGGGAAGCTTGCTCCCAAGAGGTCTGGGAAAGCTACAGGCCAGGAAAGGACACTTGGGCAAATGACCGGCCACTTTTTGCTTTTGATGTTCTATGAAGGGTGTCCAGAAACAGCCAGGAAACTATGGCGGTAGGACTGGATCTCGAGGATGCTTATAAACAGAGGGAGATACGACATCTTAATGACTGCACTGAAGGAGAAGGTCAGTCCATGGCTGGTGAATTGGGTTTGCAGCCTGTCCTGTATTCACGTCGGGTTTGCTCTCCGACTGGGCTCATGGACCTCTGAGAGCCATGCACTTTAGAGCCCCAGGACTGCCACAGGGATCCGCCATCTCGCCTGTGCTCTTTAAAGTGTAATACGAGCAAGATTGCAAGCCTAGAAGCACCAGGAGTTGGAAGGATACTTTACTTTTCCGGATTGATGTACTTGGCATATAGGCAGGGGGGAAGAAGAAGAGAGGGAACAAACAGCCCAGAAGCTACAAGCGGACAGTCGACAGTGACTGAGTGGTGTACAGAAATGAGAGATGTCGTCCCACGGAAAAGGGGCGTCGTTTTGTGGTGTCTCTCTGGACAAACAGAATCGTTAAAACTAATGTCCCAAGTCTCACGATAGATGGTAGAAGAAACCGTCAACAGAGAGGAGCAACACTGAAGTAATCTGGGAATACATCTGACAGGGGGCCTGTACTTTAAGACCACGTGGAGAGTGTTGTTGACGAGATGCCAACAAACAAAGGACTTAGTGCACTTAAGACTCTATGGCTGCAATTGACATAGAGCAGGGACTGCTTTTCCACACTATATCAGCCACCTGAGCCTGTCAGTGGTGGATTATGGCCTCGGACTGCTTACCTGTCTCAAAGAGTCAGGTTGGACAAACTAGAGCGCATACAGAACGCGGCTCTACTGAGGGTTCATTCTGGGGTTGCACCAGAGAACAACCCCAGTAGTGTGTATGCGATACATCCTTAGTTTGGCGGGACGGTTGCAGGCAGGGCACAAGCTGCTGCAGGCGGAAGTCGGGGGAAGCTGCAGACCACAAGACCACTGAAGCTTGGATGCAGTTAGGGTCAGCGGCTGATAAGAGGGAAGTAGGTGGCTCAGGCAGAAGACCAATCGGGACGGGTTTTGGCACCCTTTTTAGGATAGGAG